TGGGATGTACAAGAATAGAAATAGTAGTTCTTTTACCTTTTTTGTGCACAGCAACTGCCTCTTGATGCACCACCTGTAAATAATATAAATTTGTATATCACTATACCAGGAGAATATATACAAAAATAATATGTACAATGGTATGAGGAGGCATTATCTTTACCTCTGCTCCTTGCCCTGTCAACCCCAATGGGGGAGGGCTCTTTATCAGAATCTGTGAATGAACACATTTCATTTAGTCAGAGCTATGACACTACAACAAGATGTTCAAGTATGAAATAACTAAACATAAAAATAATAAATACAACAATGATAAAACGCATAACTGGCATTTACTAAAGAAACAGTAGGATTTGAGCGCTGTGTTACTTAGCAGATCAAAGCAAGTTTCCGCGCCTTTCCCTCCTCTCAAGTTAGCATATTCTAGGCAATTTAGCAAGTTCTTACCTTCGACTCTTTGTGGAGCTTCTGGAGAGGATGCTCTGCTGGATTGAGACTGCAACCACTCATCCGATAAATCATGATCAGGTTTGCTGAACGAATCCGAGGCATCAGTAACAGCAGCAGCTGATACGCTGCGAGAGGCGGAAGGTGTGTCCCTGCTCCGGGCTCTTGCTCCGCGCAAATGTGGCTGCAGAGACGGCCTCCACTCTCTCCCCTGTCGACCTCACTCACTGATCCGCGAGTCAATCTCTGAAGCAGTGTCAACTGCTTATAACTATTCTTTTTCGCCATCACTCTTACTATACTATCGCTAAACTAGATCGCTAATCTGTCTCAATGCTACGCTATCATCGCTCGCTCTGCTACAGCAGCACGCTCTCCAAACACTCCTCCTCCTCCTTCTCTCCACTGACTTATGACCTCTCCTGTGGCACAATACTGCATCCTACTGGTGTTGATTTATCATTACAGGTACATTTGCACTATATATCAGTATTGTGGGTCATTCACAAGGTGCGCCAGACATTACTGTAGCCTCCCGTGTAATAACACGAAAAACTCGTCAAACTCGTCATGGGCAGTGAGCGTTACTATTCAATATGACGAGTTTTGTCGTCATGGGCAGTGAATGAGTTAATCTCAAAATGTTATGAGATTAATCTCAAAATGTTATGAGATTAATTTTAAAATATATTATGTATTAATTTTAAAATGAATCTCAAAATGTTGTGAGATTAATCTCAAAATATTTTGGACACTGAGGAGATCCAGCGCGGACCAGCGCTGAGACCACTGCAGACCTGAGGAGAGACTGGAGTGACCAGCACACAGAAACCAGCGCGGACCAGCGCTGAGACCACTGCAGACCCGAGGAGAGACTGGAGTGACCAGCACACAAAAACCAGCAGACCGAGGAGAGGCCGTAGACTGGAGAGACCTGACTGGACAGACCGGTGCACAGAGACCAGTGCAGACCAAAGAGAGACCGCATAGACTGGAGAGACCGGCGCCCAGAGACCAGCGCGGACCGAGGAGAGACCGCATAGACCATAGACTGGACAGACCAGCGCGGTCCTGTAATAGATCAATGGGAGAGACCAGCGAGGACCCGTATGGATCCAGGAGCATGCAGCACGGACCCGTATGGATCCAGGAGCATGCAGCACGGACGGACCGTATGGATCCATGGGAGAGACCAGTGCAGACCCGTATAGATCCATGGGATAGGCCAGTGCAGACCTGTATAGATCCATGGGAGAGACCAGTGCAGACCCGTATAGATCCATGGGAGAGACCAGTGCAGACCCGTATAGATCCATGGGAGAGACCAGTGCAGACCCGTATAGATCCATGGGAAAGACCAGTGCAGAGACTCAGCGCGGACCCCGCAGCCTCCTGCAGCAGCAGTATATATGCCATTGTTCTGTGGCCCGTGGATGGAGAAATGCCCCCTATAAATAGGATGGGGTCACTAATATACGGCAAGATTTCCAATGTATTTGATAAAGCGTTGGCACATTTCATTTCACAATGAATTAAAAAATAGGCTAAATTACCATTAACAATTAAATAAATAAATACATACATAAATATGGCGGATATATCACTGTAATGTTGTGTTTTATTGAACTTCTTAACACCAGCGTGCAAACATGTCGGCACTGAATGTGCGTACGAGTGCTCCTGAGGACTCGTAGGATTTGTACTTACCCAAGAGAAATTCTGGTTACGAGAAAATTTCATGAATGCCACAATCTTCGTAAAATCTTCGTAAGTAGGATTTACGCACAGATTTGTTCTTAAGTACGGTTCGTGAATGAGGCCCATTGTGACAATATCATTATCGGGAGTTGGGAAACAAATATTGAGAATATAGCCCATATCGCCCACCCCTAGTTCGAAGATGATGCTCCTCCTGTTAGTGTTTACATGTTTATTTAACTCATGGGGCCAATTTGGAGGTCTTTTAATTTTTTCATTGTTATGGGCCTGTTATAGCTTTGTAAAGCAATTAAAAAGACAAATATATACTCTGTATTCGTGTCTCATGGCTTATTATTGATAGACGAAAACGTTAGTCATCCTTGTGTTTTTTTCTCACAAAAACTCTTAACTGTTTGTAACTGACTAATAAGTCAGGCACTGCAGTATTAATATATGAATAATTGTCACACTAACGGGCCTTTAACAAATGTGTAGTAAAGTGTAAATACTTTACACAAGGCACAAAAACTCTTAACTGTTAGTAACTGAATACATCATGCACTGCAGTATTAGTTCATAATCATGTATATAATTATGAATCATTAACATGTGGTTTAATAATGGTGAAACAAACATCTATATATGTAGGAACAAATGGTTACTTCATAATCATTAAATTATTAAATAATCATGAACAAGTGAATTACGCATTTATTAACTGTAGTTAAGTGTTGGTCACACTTTTTTTTAATGACCAACATTTAGGCTTAATTTATTAAGCCTAAATAAGGTGTAGTTATTATAAAGTGTTACCTAATTTTCTTTGTGTGAGTGTTATTGGGTTTTTTATTTGGGGGAAAACATTATCTTTTTGTATATTTGGAATTTTGCTGTTGGCAAATGTTAAATAAAACATACATATACATATACAGTGACGTGCGGTGAGGTTGGTGATTGGTGAGGCACTGACTTCACCCAATCAGATAAACATACTGTATATCATAAATCAACAGGACCTACAGAGCGGCTAATTCACAATTTGTTTAGCTACAGCATAATATCTTTCATGTCCGCATTGTTTTGTCATACCAAACACAAAAGTTTGTAAAAAACACATTTAAAAGTGCGTTATGGGCCTTACCTTACTGTAAACATGAACTGCACAGACCACTTCAGTTAGACCAGTTTCATGTTTAAATCCAGATAATAGTTTGAGCGTAAATATGTAATCCTCCATTTAGAAATAAGTCCAATGAGTTTTAAAAAGTAAAACAAAACGGGTGTCTCCTCCGTAAACTCTCTCATGTTTCGCTAGCTGCAGCCGCCTCTCGGGTGCATCTGATTTCTAAAATCAACCTTCTTTCCCTTCACCTCTCTTCCTTGTCATTCCTATCGTCATTGGAAGCATCACATTACCCTAAGTAAATTTTAAATAATCTTACAATGTGTTACATGTATTTTAGCCAAACCTGCTGCACTTAGCAGAGGAAGAACAAGAAAGAAGCTTTCTGATGGAATTGGATGCAGCCAAATTCTGGGCTCACATGCGCCCCCTACCCTGAGGCTGGCCTCATTTGGTGACATTACAAGCCGTGGTTGAGCGCGATTAAGACCCATATTTGTTGTCTAAAGTTGAGAGGATGGGTCATAAATTGTGTTTTTTGACATGTAGATTGCAAAGGAAATATGTTTGAACTTTGTAAACCGCGATAAATAGAGAAAACAGTTCGATAACGCCGCATGGGCTCCTGCCTCTAAGAATTACAGGCATTTATGTCTCCCAAGTGAGGCTCGCCTCACAGCGCACCGCTCTGTCAAATATGAGAAAATATGACAAAAATCTGCTAGGTAAGGTAAGAATTAATGAAATAAGGAAAAGTTACATGAAAATAATACAATGACATAAATTACCTGATATAGTCCCCAAGTATTATTGTTTCCATTTTATTTTTTCTTTCCATGATCGTAGGTGAGGCTGGGCCTCACCTGCCTCACTGTAAACATTTACATACACATACATATAAAGTTCACACCCGGTCTCATGAAGCAACGCTGGGTACTGTTATGCTCGGCCCTTTGGCGATATTTTTGTAGGCATATGCGAAGGATTTCTGTCACACATGTCGCCGCTGTATGCATTCATCTGAAACCGGATGTGCAGCCATGGGGACCGAAAGATTAGCGGAACTCTCCTATATTTTGGCATTGTCTGGTCCTCCTGCTTCTGGGCAGTGGAGGTTATTCCCATGATGTGTTGCGCCAAATACACTTGTGTGGTTCTCCTACATGTGCACAGAGGGGCTCAGCTGCGCTCTGACCAATCAGCGGCCTGTGATCCGAGCTCGGAGTTCGGGCGGGAGTCAAACGAGCAGAGTATGTTGCATGAATGTGTGGATTTGTAGAAAAAAGTTCAGGATGACAAGGGACACTAATCCTCCTTTAAGAAAGCTGTAGGTTCTTTGTCAGCTGAGGTCAAGCTGTTTTAGTTTACATTGAGTTCTATGGGACATTTTTCTGAGTAGCCCACGTGAATTCAGTCTGCAGGCGCCCCCTGTGCCCATTGGTGGTATAAGCTAGCCTACCCTATCCAGATATAATAGATCAATGTATGGCGCTGGCCATCCACAACAACAACAAGGGCTAAAACAGCCACATACTACTTATCTGTTTCTGTCAAGTTGCGGAAAAGTAGCTGCGTTTAGAAGAACTTGCAAGGTCGCACTGATTTTGCGGAGTTTGATTTTGCATTAATAGTTGCAATCGCAACATTGCAAAATTCTGGATGGACTGGTAGATGGGTCATAATAGAAGCAGTAAAAGTAGTAGCAGTAATGGCAGTAGCAGTAGTTTTCTTACCTGCAGCTGTGCACCACCACTATGAGCCGGTTCCTCTGAGAGCTGTGTCTCAGTGTGAGCTGGATTTCCCCAAGAGGAAAGTGAGCGGAGCCACTGGAACAGAGGACACAAGTATTTATACTACCCCATAAAGTCTCCAATCTGCTGTTACATCACATTCAGTTGTGCTGCTCTTAAACCTGAGGTATGTAACTTTCACTGGAACTCTGTAATAAATTGGGGCGGCATGGTGGCTAAGTGGATAGCACTCTCGATTCTCAGCAAGTAGGTCTTGGGTTTGAATCCCGGTCAGAAGATTAAAAAGAATTCCACAACATAGCAACAGACAACTGTGAAAGAACATAATTATTCATTTCTCTAAAGTCAATAAGTGAAGCTCAGTTACCGTACTTCTCTAATGGTGAAGCTGGATGACGCTTTTCGAACGGAAGCGCCAGTTAGACCCACCCCCAGCTTCCTGACAGAACGCAATTAATTCAAATCCTTGATAGACAGCTGAGGCTCCTCCCCATGGGTCTAACTATACTTCATACTTCATTTACAGGGTCAAAAGTTACAGAAATTACCTTTAAAGCATTTGTTAATGTCCTATGTAACATTGTGACGTTTTTCTTGTAGTTGGGGCATTGTCCTATTGAAGCGTCAAGTTTTCAGAGGATAATATAATATCATTTGTGTTGCTGTTGGGGGTTAGGGTTAGTCGGAGGACTTAATCGTTTGAATTTCCGTTTCAGAGTGATGTTGATAATCCAAACAATAAAGATAAAATAACAACTGGAATGTACTATGTGATGAAATATTAAGTGGGCCTCAAAACTAACAAATGAAACTACAATAAACATGTGAGCGTGCTAAAAACGTTTTGCGACTTCAGTTAAGCACCGCCCACACCAGTGAGGAAGGCCATCAAACTATTAATGCTTGATTTCTCACATGTTTTGCGTATGTGCATTAAAAACTTCTTCAGCTCTGCTTCTACCGCCTCAGTCCTGGATCTACCAGTCGTGAACTAGTCTGTCCGTTTGTGGACTCGGGGCCTCCAAGGTTTTTTTTTTCTCCCACTGTATTAATGATGACCTTGCTGATTCAGGAGGGTCTAAGGACAGTGATAATCCTGGATTCATAAAGATATATGGATAGTAGTTAACACATTCCTTATGGATCAGTGGGTCCAATGTGTTTAACATGATTGCATTTCCTGTGTTTGAACCGTTTGACTTTCTTTGTAAAGTCCTCCGAGACGACTGCTGTTGTGGTTTAGGGATATACAAAAATAAACTGAATCGGATTTTATTGAATTGTATTAGTACTTTAGAAGCTACTCTTGTGAGACTGCGTGTGACTCACTTTGGCAGCTGTGAGAGGCGGTACTGCAGCTCCTGAGCTGCGTACGGGTTTGAGATGTCTGAGGCGATAGACGGAGTGGGTTCTTTGGCATTCAGGTTCAGACTGGACTGGTTCCGGCCGTTGTGCAGTTCAGCCCCAGTCTGGCTCGAGACTGAGGCTGGGTCAGAGTGGTTCGGCAGGCCGCTGTCAGACGAGATGGAAGGGCGAGGCGTGGAGCTGGACTTACGCACCTGCACTGCGGAGGGCAAGCCGTTTGAGGGGGTAGTGTCTTTCTCCAGACACAAGACCTACAAAAACAAGCAACAGAACAGTCTTCACAGGAGGCACTGCAAACACTGACATGAAAAACTCACTGTATTTAGTCAACTTTCCTTCCTAGTCTGTCCATTCTGTTTGTCCGGAGTCAATGTAATCCCACGTATTTTCCCACACAATTGTCCAGGACCAAATCAACTTTGAGCAGAACTGTTCTTAAATCTGTTGTGGATATTCTACTATGAAGATCATAACAGATATTTATTTCATGCTCTTTATTATCAAAAATGCCACAGAGCATATACACATTGGGTTGTTGTATTTCATGAACACAGCTCTCAGTCGAGGGAAACTCTTTAGGACCTTCAACTCTGAGCCTGATCTTAGATACTCAAGTACCTCAGCGTTTGAGCTAAAGAACGTTGTGTCTTCCTACTCATCAAAAGAAAAAAAGTCAACCTCACTGGTGTAGCTGTGAGTGGCAACTCCTCTTTGTTTATTCTCAGCTGGCTCTTCATCATGGGGTAAAGTGCGACACGCCACGATGAGCAGCGCCACTAGCGGCCAGCCTCTTGCTGTCACATGCAATGTGGAATGGGAACTTGCGCGTGAGTCGTGACTGATGCGCAAGCACCAGCACACAGCTGTCCATGGTAAATAAAAAGTAACGGAGGAAGAGGATCAAAAAATAAACTGCCTTACGTTAGTAAATTGTTGACAGTTAACGCGTTACTCTACTTTTCCCCGGAAAAAGTAGTTTTGTTAGTGTACCGTGTTACGGCCACTACCAGGCCGTATAGCCTCTCCTCTCAGACGAGAGCGGCTCTTCATCGCACCCAGACATTCTTGTTGGCTCATTCCGCTCCCATCCTGCCACCTGCGTGCCCCGCCTCCTTCGGTTTGGTTTGCCTGGTTTGGTTTGGTTAGTTTTGGTTCGTTTAGGTTGTGGTCTATTTTCTACACACTATTCAACACCGCAGACTTACCTTCACAGCACATACACTTGCACGCACTCACTACAGACTTACACACCCCATTAAAACATTAAGTTTGGTTATTAATAAACATTATTCCAATTGGCAACGGTCATTTCTATTTGAGCCGAGTTATGACAGAATGGGGGCTCGTCCGTCAACCTGGCGAAGTGTGAGTTCGCCAAAGCAACGGTCACGTATCTGGGTCGTGTCGTGGGCCAGGGTGCGGTCGCTCCTGTCCACGCTAAGGTAATCGCTGTGGCGGAGTTTCCCCCGCCGTCTACAAAAAAGGAGTTGCAGCGGTTTTTGGGGTTGGTGGGTTATTACAGGAGTTTTTGTAAGAATTCTTCTACTGTCGTCTTTCCACTGACGGAACTTCTTAAGGCCAAAGCAAAATTTATTTGGTCTCAGGAGTGCCAGCAGGTGTTTGAGAGTGTCAAGTCTGTGCTCTGTTCCCATCCTGTGTTATCTGCTCCTTGTTTTGACAGACCATTCATGCTCCAAGCCGATGCCAGTCAGGTGGGCGCAGGGGCGGTCCTGCTCCAGATGGATGGCCAGGGAGTGATGAAACCAGTTTGTTTCTTGTCAAAGAAGTTTAATCGGCATCAGCAGAACTATTCTGTTATTGAGAAAGAGGCATTGGCTTTGATATGGGCTTTACAGTATTTTTGTGTGTATTTGAGTGGTTCTGTCCCATTGGTTGTGTACACGGACCATGACCCTCTCACATTTTTGAGCTCGTTGAGGTGTCCCAATCAAAGGCTGGTTCATTGGACTTTATTTCTTCAGGCCTATGATATGGAGATCCGGCACATTAGAGGACGGGATAATTTTATGGCTGATGCCTTGTCCAGGGCACCTGTGAGTTGAGTGTTGTGGTTTGTTCATTCTGTCTGCCTCTGTTTTCCCTTTAGGCACCAGCGGGGGAACTTGGAGCAGGGTGTGGTGTCCTGGGTGGTTTGTGTTGTGCTGCGATAATTCTTTGGGGAGAATTCTCGTAATTATGGGGGGGGGGTGTTACGGCCACTACCAGGCCGTATAGCCTCTCCTCTCAGACGAGAGCGGCTCTTCATCGCAGCCAGACATTCTTGTTGGCTCATTCCGCTCCCATCCCATCTGTGCCCCGCCTCCTTCGGTTTGGTTTGGTTAGTTTTGGTTCGTTTAGGTTGTGGTCCATTTTCTACACACTATTCAACACTTACCTTAGACTTACCTTCACAGCACATACACTCGCACGCACTCACTACAGACTTACACACCCCATTAAAACATTAAGTTTGGTTATTAATAAACATTATTCCAATTGGCAACAGTTTGGCCTGTTTCTGTCATTTCTATTTGAGCCGAGTTATGACAACCGCGTTTCTTTGTTACCCACTGGTGCTTACTCAACAGTCCCCCGTTATCTGGGGGTTGGCGGTTTACACCCATCACTATCTTGTAAACCACATTGAACTGGTTTTTCTTCATTCGGTGGGAAGGTGGTCTCCGCGAAAGCCAACTTGCATCCATGTAGACCAGGGGTGTCAAACCGGTCCTCAAAAGGCCGGTGTCGCTGCATGTCTTAGTTCCAACCTGAGCAGGAGCCCACAAGACTCCACCCTTTCCTCAGGTGAGTCCGGTTTTAACCTGAATATTTGAGGAAATGATTGATGATTTGACACCCCTGATGTAGGCGCAGTGATTGTCATGAAAATAGTGTGGCAACGGATCGAAAAACTCACGGTTCAGATCGTTTCTCGGATCAGAGTCACGGATTCTCTGATTCGTCCGGGTTTTTGGACGAATAAAATAAACATACGTTTATTTGTCAAATTATTATATTAAAATGTATAAAATCAACTTGCCACACGGAAAAACGCATAAACCATCCATCCATCCATCCATTTTCAACCCCTTAATCCATTTCTGGGTCATTTTACTGGCATAGGGGCTGCTTTAATGCTGCGGTGATAATCAGTTGTTGAGCAGCCCTCGTTTTCACTGCTGTTAGTGAAACCCCCGCCATGACCATGCTGTGTGTAGACTAAACATATGCACAACTTTTATTTTCATAAATCTAACCGAAGGTCACGTGTGTGCCGAACCGAAGATATTGATTCGAACAGATCACGGATCAATAATGATCTGCTGCACCAATACATGAAAACACTCAAAGACTTAAGCATTGAATTTATCTTGATTTAACATTAGGGTCTTAAACACGTCGGATATCACCTCCGATAGTTGTTATTTCAAAAACTTAAAAGAACCGTTACAGTGTAAGTCTGTGTAATTAAGTCAGTTTTTGCAGTGTACTTCTTGCTGCTGCGATGTCAGTTGTGTGAGTTTTGTCTGTGGCCTGTGGGGGCTCTCTCCTCACCCGCAGAGCCAGCTTCATCTTCAGGCTGCACGTTGGGCCACTGCTCCTCAGGGGGAAGCTCTTGTTCAAGGTCATGTCTGGAGCGTCCATGAGGGTGGTCAGAGAAACGGATAGCTTGCCCAGAGAACACTCGTGCTTCTCGTCCCTCACCTGAAACACACATCTGTTACATGCTGTCGAGTCGGCCACACTGCTGAGGCTTTGGTTCACTGTAAACTGAGGCAAAATTGTTTGCCTAAGCTGCAAGGGACACCGTGCTGAGCGGCAGTTGTAGAACTGGGGACTAAGGAAAGGCAGCGGTAGCCCTCTGATCTAATCACCCTGGTGCACACAAGCTAAAAAAAAGTTTTTTATCTTTAGCTCAATCCTAAATATAATGAAACCGGCTCCATACCTCCACCTCCAGCTCCTGAGTCTTTGGGTTGTGGATAAGGAAGGTGAAGGCTTCCTCCCAAACCGGTTCGTTGGTCTTATAACGTGTCTGCAGGAGGATTACAGCCGTTATAATACAAATTAAAAGTTTATATGTGAAGTTGTGCCTTTCTCACTTTGCTCTCAAAGCTCTTATGTCCCACGTTGAACAGGACGAAGGGACTGGGCTCCGATGTTACCTTTTTACCCGTCTGACAAGAGAGAGCGTTTTAGTAACAATACAAGACAAACACACACAAGCTGAGGTACCAAACTTGTATTCTTATGAATAACACATAATTTGTCCAACAGAAAAGTAGTATGTTTTGAGCAAATCAGACCACAAGACGCACGCACAGAATGCAAGAATCCACTGATCCTTTTCCTAACTGAAAAACTGAAGCAATCGATTGATAAAGTAATGTTAAGCGATATGAAACGTTTGTGATTGTCTGTATATTCTTGTTAAAAGACAGTGAATAGTCAAGCCATTAGCCGGGATATTTTAATGGTTCAGCCGGAGTGATTACATGTCTGAAAAACTAAGATTATTTGATTAGGAGGATTAGGATGGACTCGCTTCTGGAACAACATCAAATTTGATTTAGATTTGTCAAGTAGCTATTTGTTGGAAGCCCGAGCTTCCCGCCAGAGAGAAATCAATGCTCCAATCACGTGCCAGTCCCATCAATAAATAGCCCTCTACAGCCCGCACCTGCCACTTTTCACTCTGGCGCCATTGAGAGAAGTCCAACTCACCATTAAGAAGAAAGCTGAAGATGTCGTCTCCTTCCCCGTCTCGTCCGAAGACCCCGTCGCCCCTCCGGCGTCAGACGAAGGCGCTGCAGCGGCTGCAAGACGAAACTCTCCCGCAAGGACCGGCACAGCCTGTGCTTCCCCTGCCTGGGCGTCTCCCACTACCAGGGGAACGACGCTGGCTGCGAAGCGTGCCTCTCTCTCCCCAGGGAGGAGAGCGAGCGCCGCTTAGCGTGTGCTAGCTCCGCGGTGGCTCACCCGGGTTCCTCCCAGGAGGAGGAATTCAAGGTCGAGTATGTGCCGCTGGACCTGCCTCCCGCACCCAGGGAGTGGGGAGACTGCGTCGTGGAGGATGAGCGTGACGAAGACCAGGGTTCCTTCCTCACGCTCAACGAGGCTTCCTCCTCGAGCAGCCGGACCAGTTCCAGCTCGACCACATGCCCCGCCTCTTCACGGCTGCGGCGAGGACCATGGAGGTCGCTCCTCATCTGGCTCCTCATCTGGCGCCGCGGAAGCAGCGCCGCCATTTTGGGAGCAGAGAGAGAGAGAGAAAGAGGGGGACCGGTCCCCCCTGCGTCGCTCTGCCCTCCCCCAGACCACTACACGCACGTCTCGCCCTGCTCCAGCGAGGTCCAGGGGCCAGGAGTGGACCTCCGGAGGCCCACGAGACCAGACTTCCCAGCGTCGCCCTCCCTTTGGTGGAGGAAAGCGCGGGGGAAAAACTTTTTTAAAAAAAAGAAAAGATTACGCTTATCCAATTCTCTTGCACCACATGCCTTCACAGGTAGAGGGCAGTGTGGTCTTACCTACAGTCCAGGCACACTTTACAGAGGGTGGTTTGCAGTGCCAGTCTCAGGCCACCGCTCTAGGTACCACCAGATATAGCGCTTTACCTCTCCAGGAAGTTTTGAAACGCGAGGGTCTCACTAGGGGTAGGCCTATGACCTCTGCCGCTAGCTCCGCTATCTCTCACACTTCCCTATTTGGTATGGGTCTGAAGCGTAAGAGGCAGGCTGTTGTTACTAGGACAACGGAGCAGGGTCCGTTCGTCCCACACAGCACAGCATTGGGACTTGCTGCTATGAGCGAGGCAGAGAGTAAGGACTCCTCTGTCTCGCGCAGCAGATCAAAGGGGCAGGATGCTATGGGCGGGACGTTGGTGGGAGAGCCATCTGTCCCGCAAGGCACGGCGAGACAGTGAGGGAGAACTCATCTGTCGCGCACTGCATGACACACAGAGACCCTCGGCCCTTTAGGGAACCCCCCCTCCCCTGTGATGGGTTAGTCACACCAGGAGAGTGGGGGGCATTAGGGTCAGGTGTCACGAGCCCGGTGCCACCTCTCACGTCCTTTTACCAGGTCTTGAGAGAGCAGGGACTCCTCTCAGACGCGTGGTTGGACAAGACGTTGCGCAGAGGCTATGCTTTGCAGTTCACGAGGAGACCATGGCCGTTCCAGGGCGTTCGAGCAGCGTGATCCAGGCGACATGGGACAGAGGAGGGCCTCCAAGAGTAGGTAGCCTCCCTGCTGAGAAGCGGCGCTGCGGTCCAGGTCGACCCGCAGGACGCTCAAAGGGGGCTGTACTCCCCATACTTCTTGGTTCCCAAAAAGTCAGGGGGGGTGCGCCCTATTTTGGATCTGCGCGCTCTCAACCAGTGCATCTCCAGGCGGCCGTTCTGCATGCTCACTATGAAGCAGCTGCTGGAATGTGTCAGACCTCAAGGTGGTCTTGAGGGGGTTATCGGGACCTCCCTTCGAGCCTGTGGCTCAGGCCAGCCTTGAGTGTGTGGCTCTCAAGACCGCCCTCTTACTGGCTCTGGTTTCAACCAAGAGGGCAGGTGAACTATGCGCACTCTCCATTCGCCCCGAATGTCTGGCGTTTGGTGCTGAGGATGGTGTGATGGAGCTTTGGCCGAATCCAGCCTTTCTGCCTAAGGTCGTCACTTCGGCCTTTAGGTCAAAGGTCATCAGGGTCCGACCCTTTCACCCGCCGCCTCACGCCTCGGAGGAGGCCGAGCGGCTGCATCTGTTGTGTCCAATCAGGATGCTGAAATCCTACCTGGCTGTTACAGCTTCTTTCAGACGGTCTGATCAGCTGTTTGTGTGCACAGGCCCTAAGAACAGGGGCGCACCATTGACGCCTCAGAGGCTGGCGCACTGGGTTTCCCGGGCGATTCGTTTGGCATACCAGGCCCAGGAATTGGTTCCCCCGGTAGGGTTCAAGGCGCACTCCACACGAGGAGTCGCGGCCTCCACAGCTCTGCTCCGGGGGACCTTGGTGGAGGACGTCTGCCAAGCAGCTTCTTGGGCTTCGTCCTCTTCCTTTGCTCTGTCTTATTTAGTGGACGTTGCAGAACGGTCGGTTGCTCATTCCGTTCTGAACACGGGGGTCTGACTCACCGCGGGCCTCTTGCAGGGAGTCGACCCGCGGTCTGTGGTTGCTCTAGTCCGCCCTTCAGGAGCTCTTGATAGAGGCGTCCTGGGGTCGTGACCTGCTCTTCCCTTACCTTCCATACTTCAGGAGCTCTTGGTAGAGACGTCCTGAGTATCTTTTCTTGCTACTCCTACTGGAGTTTTTTCAGAGTGTCTTGGTAGGAGCGGCCCTTGCTCTGTTCATGCTCTTCAGGAGTTTGTCAGTGTCTTCAGGCGTCCTTGGTAGGAGCGGCCTTTTACACTGCTCTCTTTCTCTTCCTGCCCCGAGTCCATGCGCCTTGGTAGTGCGGTGGGGACTCGAGCAGGGCTCCAATCACTGTACGCTGGCCTGATGGGAGTACATCTCTCTACTGCTACGCGTGGTACCCAAGGCGAAGCCTAAGTGGCGTTAGCACCATGCTGTAGAATTGGTAGTTACCTAGTGTAACTTAAGTTCTACGAATGGTGCGTAGCCACTTAGCTACGGGCCCATCAGTCCAGCCTGGCTTTGGCAGAGTTCAAAGTGGCAGGTGCGGGCTGCAGAGGGCTATTTATAGATGGGACTGGCACATGATTGGAGCGTTGATTTCTCTCTTAAGTTCTACGTACCATTCGTAGAACGTAAGTCATACTAGGTAACTACCAATTATATTCTGGAGAAAACATCTGTGTCATCAACATAGAGTTGAATGGTACAGTTTTTGCATGCATAGCGGCTTTGTGAATCTAATCAATCAATAACAAAATCTGGGAAAACCCCAGGACATTTTACTCAATATTTATTTCACATGTCTTTCCCATTGAGTTGTATTGGCACCTGCTGTAATACTGTCATACAATTTTACAAAATGAACGCAGTCTACAGTTACTTGTTTTTTTATATTTCAAAATGTACATAACACGCCATTGCTCCCAAGCATCATATAGTTTCCACTTCTAACGTCTTCCACACCATATACAGTTTAAAAGCAGAAACATTCTGCATTTCAAAGTCCTCTCATTCAGAAATAAAACATAACTTTCTTTGGCCTCCATTAAAATATTCTTGGGTTTCATATGACGTCGGGGCAGTGGCGCAAATGACATACATGGGACAGCCGACCTGATGTGACGTGACGCACCCTGGCGGTGCAGTCTGCCGGGTATATACACGGAGATATAGTAGAAGAAGAAGCGCTGTCAAAATGCCAAAATGTTTGAAACTTTCTTGCTACAACCGTACACCACACTTTTTGTGTGGTGTACGGTTGTAGCAAGAAAGTTTCAAATAAGGCCGCACATCCCTGTAGTTTGAGCTAGCGTGCTGGATTAAAAGACGAAGGGCCTCAGCCCGAAACGTAACAGTTTTTGGTGTGTAAATAAAATACACTTATTGGGAGCTGCATAGCTGTACGGTTGTAGCAACCATGAGAATAGAGAGAAAGACAAGAGTTTCTTCCGTGTTCCGTGGTCTCAAATATAGGAGTACATATTGAAAAAATCACTCGAATGAGGTGGGTGGTGAGGTGGATCAAGGCTTTCCCAGATAAGCACCCCCTGCAGGCTACCCGAATGAAATGCAGCAATTTCTTCTGTTATTATTTCCAAAAATCTCCAAAATCAAGACTCTTGAGAAATATTTTTTTAGAACTCCATTAGAATTGAGTGTCCCCCTCCCGCTTAAGACTGTTACAACAACCGTACACTGCACAAGATTTACATGGTTTTCAAGGGGAGCAAAACTGAGTTGTCCCATCTCTGCTCATTCGCCCCCTACAGGCCAGGTTAACCCATAAATGCTACCTAACTTTCCCGTCTCGAAAAATAACGTGAACTTTGTCCAACGCAAAGTCTTGTAAAAGTAAAATGTTGACCACAACAAGCTGTTTTCATCTCCTATTTTCAATTGTTTCATACTTTTTCTATTTTAGTACGTACATAATTCCACAAGAGTTAATTCATAGGTTTAATGCCTTCAGTGTGAATATACAATTTTCATAATGATGAAATTAAAAAACTCTTTGAATGAGAAGGTGAGTCCAAACTTTTGGTCTGTACTGTATATATATATTATTTCATCACATCGTCCTATTTTCCTCATTTGGAACAGAATTTCCATTTGAGACTGACAAACAAGTTTAGGTTGGTTTAATCTTATTAGGTTTAGTGACAATTTATATGAAAGGTACTAGTAGCATATGCTACTACAGCGATCTCCCATCCAAGCACTGACCAGGATGTTGGGAGTTAAAACATACCTATAAAGTGTGTAATGATCATCATTTGGTGTGTTTGTGAGGATATTTGGCCTGGAGTGTCCGTAAGCAAATGTTCACCTGTTTTGGCATGTGTTAGCATGTGTTAGGCTGTGGCAGAATGTGTTAGCATGTTACCTTGAGGACCTTACTGACCGTGGCCGTCTTCAGATGAGTCCAGGAGAGATGCACACACAGATTAATGACACCAGAAAGAAGGAACCATTTCTCAGAAGCGTGCAAGAGGCTTTAAAACTAGAGGAAAGCGTGGGTGATTTGGCAACAAAGATATTTCTTAACAATCTGAATACCAATATCACTTTTCTAATTGTGGACATATAATCAGTGCGTGAATGCTGTGTGTTTTAAAGAACATGTATTCTTTATCTCTACGTCAAAGATATTCTGCAAAATCCATAAAAAACCTGCCGCGCTCATAGAATCTGGAAACTAACTCTGGAAACTTGGGCTGAAACTCTAGCTGGGTTGAGTTTGTGTCACTGTGCCCGATTGGGCTTGAATGAAAGAATGGAGACAAACTGAGGGGAAGCGTTTTCTATCACACTGATGGTTCTGTATTTATGGCTACACTAGCTTTGCAGAAATATCTGAGATTGTTATATGTCTAAGCATGTTTATCACAAATAAACAACACATTTGCTCTTGTATTTCTGTCCCTTTCTCATGAACGCGCAAAAAGGTGCATTTCTGAATATTTTGTATTTTTGTCGTTGTGTGCGTGGCAGCCTCATGTACACTCTGATCAGTCTTGAAGTAGTGTGATGTCATTGTAACACTATAACATCAGTCTTTAAACTTGTGTAGTTTTTAAACTTATTATAATTTGAGAGAATATGACAGTGTTGACGCTTCCTATCCAAGACTGAGTGGCTGCTTGTAGACTCTTTCGACTGTAACATTGTTTTACTTGTTTGAACCCAAGTTGTCAAACAGTAGCGGTTATGCGACATAATCATGGAGCGCGTGTGTGGTTTGTGATGTTGACAGTTTGCTGTTATGACGTCGCTTTCTAGACTTTTGCGTGATTATTTTTCTAAAAGATTCTTGTTTGGGTTGTTCTTTTACATAACTGTGGTCCTCCATTATTCCTTTTCATGAACTTGTCAGCTCTCATGTATATTTATAAGTCAAATTCTAAGCCTATGAAAACAATTCAAAAACATGGTAGAGGTAAATATTCTTTAAAAGGTCACATTTATTATTAGCTACCATGTTTTTTGATTTGGAGCAATTGTAAAAATTACACATACTACCTTTAAAACAAATGTATTGTCCATTAATTAGTTTAGTTTAGTTTTTGATTTTTATCCAAGAACTATTCTGAATATTTGTTCTTTAAAACAGACTCATCAATGCAGATGTTATCTCAAACTATTTCCACATTTCAGGGACAAATTAGAAACACATTGTTAGTGTTTATGTGAAGCCATACATCGTCAAATAAACATGTTTTCTATTCTCAAAAGATTTACATCTTTTTACATCAGAGAAGATATTTTAGAGCCTGTGATCAAGATAGCAGAGGGACCAGAGAGAGACTAGGGAGAGAACAAAGAGAGACCAAACAGACCAGAGAGACCAGGGAGAGAAGAAAGAGATAAGAGTGAGAGAAACCTGAGAGAGACGAGAGGATCACAAACCTCATCCACAACTACCACAAAAGACTCTAAGCTGTCAGAGATGTTAAAGGGCAACACAAGCTATTGAGAACTGGTGGATGGAGACTTCTGATCAGGGTCAGAAGAGGCGTTTCTAACTCTCATTATCATTTGAACAGAGGAAACATCTTTATTTGAGAACATAGATTTGTTTCACACAACATCAACAAAGAGCGAAGAAAACATATTTGCAATATTGTTCATAGTCTCCAATACAATGCCTCTCGAAAGTACTAATACACCTTGGACTTCAGCACATTTTGTCATGTTTACTGACCTTTTTACTGAAGGTTCACACACAAGTAACAGACAACTGTGAGGAGAAAGTAAAATTATACAGGATTCTGTTATTTAAAAAAATAGAAAAGTGAAAAGTAGGGTCTAGACAATAGGGTTTAATCCCGGGACACGGGATCAAAACTATTTCCCGATTCCCGGGAAATGTTATAACGGGAAACAGGAAACGAAAGTAAAAAAATACCAGTGCGCACCTATTATAGTGCGTGTCTATTGTTGTACAAAGTTCAAACATATTTTCTTTACAATCAACATGTATACAGTTGAGAGGATGTCTCATGAATTGTTTTTTTTTTTTTTTTTTCAACAAATATGGGTCTTAATTGCGCTCAACCACGGCTTGTAATGTCACCAAGTGAGGCTAGACTCAGGGTAAGGGGGGCATGTGAGCGCAGAATTCGGCTGCATCCAATTCCATCAGAGGGCTTCTTTCTTTTTTTCATCTGCTAAGGGCAGCAACAGGTTTGACTAAAATACATTTAACACATTTTAAGATAATTTAAGGTAAAGGGTAAGAAGGTTGATTTTAGAAATTGGATGCACCCGAGATTCGGCTGCAGCGAAACGCGTTTTGTTTTACCTTTTAAAACTCATTGGACTTATTTCCAAATGGAGGATTACATATCTACGCTCAAACTATTATCTGGACTTAAACATGAAACTGGTTTGAACTGAAGTGGTCTGTGCTGTACATTAATAACTAAGGTGAGGCCCATAAAACACTTGGAAATGTGTTTTTTACGAACTTTTGCGTTTTGTATGAGCAAACAATGCAGGCATGGAACATGTTCTGCTGTAGCCAAACAAATTGTGAATAAGCCGCTCTGTAGGTCCTGTTGATTTATATGATATACATGTTCATCTGATTGGGCTGAAGTCAGTGCCTCCAAACCTCACCGCAGGTCACTGGTCGCAAGTGAATTTCGCAGACATTTAGAATCTCAGCATAGTGAAATTCCTGAAGAAAGCCCATCAACAAAACGTCTGAAAACTCTAGATGGCTACTTTAGCAAAGCTTGCAAGTCGCTTGGTGAAACATTAGGGGAGATGGCAGCTTTTGATGGATTTATGTTTAATATTATACATATTTGAGTAATATCATACATTACTTGGGCTAAAAACAACTACAAAAAACAGCTATTTCCCGGGATTCCCGGGAAATGCGTCGTCTTTTCCCGGGATTTGATACACCTCATTTTCGGGAAAAATATTAAACCCTACTACACAAGTATTCATACAGTTTTTACATTTTTGCATAACATTGCCTTTAAAGCATTTCTGATGACTGCTGAATATGCACATCTTGCCCGAATGATTAAATAGAGGCCTCCTGTGTATAATCTACTCAAAGTAAAAATACAGCTGATCTGTGAGGGCCTCAGAGCTGTGGTTGGAGTGTATTGGTCACTAAACAGCCTCATGGAGGCTAACGAGCACACCAAAGAGCTGTGGAGAGGTTTAAGATTTGAACGTCTCGAATAGCTTGGAAGATGGATTAAAAACCTGCTAGAGTCTGCAAGAGAATTGGGGCTAGGGTGAAGATCCGTCTTCCAGCTGGACAAGGACCCTGGAATGGCCCGGTCAAAATCCAATAGAATAAATCTGTGGACAGACCTATAAACTGCTGTTCACAAACGATCTTCATCTAATTTGACAGAGCAAGTTATTTTGTAAAGAGGAATGTGCTAAACTCTAAATGTGCACATCTTGTACAGTCATACCTCCAAAAATGTGCTGCTATTGTAGCAAAAGGGGGTTCTACAAAGTATTAACACATGCGGTTTTTCTAATCTTTTTTTTTTTTAATAAGATAATCATATATCATTTTACTTTCACTTCACAGTTGTCTGTTACTTGTGTGTGAACGTAAAGTAAAACATTGTACATAAAATATGTTTTGTTTGTTGTTGTAAACCTGACAAAATGTGCAAAAGTTCAACCTGTATTAATAATTTAGCAAGGCACTGTATATGGCAAAAAGTTCTGCCTGAAAGTCTAAACTTTAAAACATTATATCAGTATCTGATCATATCTAATATGTGGTAAATAGACTGAATGCTTATTAAAAAGTCTCTTGCACATGTACATCTGAAATAAAAAATTCCCTCCATGTAAAAAGAGCATGGCCCACACCAGAAACACCAATAACAGACAGATGATCCGGTTAGAGATATCAGATACATTAAACACAGAAGACAGATGTTATGAGTACCTTAGGGTTAGGGTTCATTTCAGAAATTCATTTTTGTAAATATGCAAACAGTCACTGATAAATGCGGTGAGAGGAAAATGGAAATCCCATTTAACATTTTGATTGAGTGTACTCCCCCCTTATGAGAATGATTACTTGATGAAATGAAAACATGCTCCGTAGTTCAGTGCTCCAAACAGGCCTACAGAGTGTTTAAGCCTGTAACATATTATGGATATTTGGACCTACAGTAATATCTGTCAGTAAGTGTGTTTACTTACCATAAAGTAAGTCTAAGATGATTCCCATTAGTAAGTTCTATTGAAAACATTAGGAACTAATAATGTTAGTTATCTAAATTAGCATTGCACAAATTGCTATCAAATGCCAGCGTTTAATTTAAACAGCAAGAGGCTCCCAGGTCATTTATTGGGTACTGTTAGCTATCTGTAAAGCAAATTATACAATAACGCTTTCCCTATTTTACATTCATTCAATTAGCTACTTTAATGTCAGCGTAAAAGCTCCTATTTACTCACAAATGTTCAGCTAATTGCCAAAAGTAAACAAATATTTATTTATATATGTGCATCAGAAAGTGGAAGTTTATCTTTGAAATGCACAGACAAATTAGACACACTGGTTAAAAGTGCTTTTCACTCCTAAATCTAACAACTCACAAATAGAGTTCTGTAGAGAGAAGATGTGTTCTCACAAAACACAAATCCAGTGTTTCAGCTGAACTCCAGGCCCCAGTAAGCCTTCAAACACAGACTAACAAGAAAGGAGAAGAGGAAAAGGGAAAAGTATGGACCAAGAGAGTCTTGAAACACAGCCTATAGAGAGGGGAAAGGAGTATAGGGGAAAGGTGAGGATCAAGAGAGCCTTAAAAACACAGTCTAAATAGGGAATAAGGAGAAATATGAATATCGAGACAGCCTTCAAACAGATTAAGACAGGTAAGAGTAGGGGAAATATAAAGACTATATAAGGTACACTACGGCGCAAAAAAACTATTTTCATGTGACGTTTGCAGAGCGTCTGGCTTCTTGTGCCATTTTGAGTCTAAAGCGGTTTTGGGGCTTGTTGACAAGTGTGTGGAGAACTCTGAACTCATCGCAGTATAGTTGGATATAGTAAAAAAATGTTAGAAGGCAAAAAAATCAGGATGGACGATCCTTTTCAACAATTTGATTAGTCAATTCACAGTGAATTTTGACTGTAATTAAAAACATGCATGTATATAAATGATCTAGATCAACATGACAGGTGATTATAAGGATTTGTGCAACAAAATTATTGTTTTATGTGCTGGGGCTGATTACAGGAGTTGATCATGGGGAGATGGGACACAGGGGTGAAAGGGGAATGACTCACTGGCAGATTTCGAGCTGAATCCAGGAACACCACGAGGACGGCGGAGGACAGACCGTCGTTGGCATGACCACGATCAGCTCTGATGCTGGACAAGACCTGAAGGATATTGTACATACACAGGTTTTTGGCTCTAGCCAAACCTCAGCTGTGCTTGAAAGTTTACACACACAGAAAGAAATGATTGACAGTTGTGACATACCTGGTCCAATAGGTCTGGTTTGGGGAGCAGAGATAACCACTCAAGCTTCAGATGCAGCTTCCCCTGAGAAACTTCATCCAGGATGAACCACTGCGCAAACACCCAATGTTCAAATTCAATACACTGTGACGAATCTTCTAAAAATAGGTTTTTGCACACACCCCATGGGATTTCCTATATCCCACTGTTCCTAGTTAATCACTGAAAACATCAGGTTCCTATTGTTTGAGTTCCCACCAAACATTATTTAGATAAACAATGCTAACCCACCAGCAAGGAATTCTAATTACTGGGCTGCACCTGACGTCACACTGCGTGAAAGTCTTCCGAGGGACAGGAATTAAATTTTCTCATTAAGAACAATGTAAATATTATCTCAAAGTCGAAATGCTCTTTTTCTGTGGCGTGTACAGTTGGTAACTGCTTATATCAAGTGGAGAACTTATGGAGTCTCTATGTGGCTAACACTTATTTCTCTAAATACATGTATAAATCATTTTAGGATAATGCTTACTAAGGAACAGAAGAAATATGTTAACATGAGCAATAGCCAGCGTAGTGGCCGCAGTCAACAGTTTTTACTTCACTGACTTTCATAGATACAATGCAGTATTTTTGTGTGGTATACGGTTGTAGTAACCGAGGCAACAGAGAGAAGGATTTTAAATATATGTTTTAATGCCAAAGGTTGTCTCAAACCAACATGTAAACGTGTATGACAAAGCTAAAAGCAGGCTGTACAATCTAAGTCTTCTCACATCACTTTTGAATGCGCTGGAAAACGGCAGCAGGTCCTGAGTAGCTCTGAAACACTTGCTTTATACGTTTTATTTTTCTAGCTTTTTTCTACCTGAGATGTTGCTGCAGTACAGTGTTATTGGTTCCAGACCGGAACGGAGAGGATTCATGGTCTGAACCAAGTGGATCAGATGAAAATCTACTGGAGGAATGCTATCTTTTAGAAATGGACTAGAGCAGAGAAAATGGTCCAAAACAAGCGGCTACTCCACCTTGTGACCTGTCCTGCTCCACCCAGAGGCTACTCCATCTCTGCTGCTGTGACCCGTCCTGGTCCACCCAGAGGCTACTCCACCTCTGCCGCTGTGACCTGTCCTGGTCCACCCAGAGGCTACACCACCTCTGCTGCTGTGACCCGTCCTGCTCCACCCAGAGGCTACTCCACCTTTGTTGCTGTGACCCGTCCTGGTCCACCAAGAGGCTACTCCACCTCTGCTGCTGTGACTTGAAGGGCTGTTGCTGATTATTACTATTGTTATCTTTTTTGAATGATCAATTTTAATTTTAATTTTTACTGCTACTGGACACCTGAATTTCTCCGACGGGGATCAATAAAGTATCTATCTATCTATATAATCTAGTCATTGTGTTATAAGAGTCATTGTTCATTGTCATTTCCACAACTGGTACTGTGAGGACCAGGGTGATGTCGGAAGTTGTATCCAAGCCCCATGCCCCAAGGATGGCAGCGTTCGTTGCAGCCCCCCGGTGCTAGCTTTACACTACGGAGCTCCCCCCTTGGAGCACAAGTCCGAACCTTTTTGTTATTTGCAGCTCAACAAATCATCAATCACAAATCAGGGTCATATATCTCGCCTCAAATGTTGTTAAAAGTAACATTTGTGCCCTATTTATTGTATTATTGATCAGAACTATCATCTCAGACGTGATTCTGTTGATACCAGAGTAACGAGCTCCACTATCGTCACAATAACAGCTGCTTAATCCTCCCCATTGTTGAAAAAACTGGACTCATTTAAACTCTACAAGGCAAACGCTGCATTGAAAGTAATTTTCACTCAAAATAAGAGTGATATTAAGCGGCGAAAAGTTCCTGTGTGTGCGTAGTCCTGCATCGCCCATTCTATTTATTAGAAGAAAAATACTTCCTGTCCTACCTGTCACGCCCCCTTTTGGTCACATGGTTGCAACCCAGCAATAACTCCATTTTGGTCTTAAAATGATGCAAAGCTGAGCACTGCACAACAAAAACTGTGGTATGCTGTAGAGACAGAGTTGCTAGCCATTGGCATGAAGCCTTACTATCTGCCTCGGGAGTTTAGCCATGTTATTGTCGTAGCGGCCTACATTCCCCCATCAGCCAAGGCTGAGGGTGCGTGTGACCTTTTGCACTCTACTGTCAGTAACCTACAGACTCTGCACCCGCAAGCTCTGTTTCTTATCACTGGGGATTTCAACCATGCAAATCCCCAAACTGTACTTCCCACATTCACCCAGTACATCAACTTTAAGACAATAGAACTTTGGACCTCTTCTTTGCCAATGCCACAGGGGCATACAACCCAACTGCCCTCCCCCCCTCGGCTGCTCTGACCATAACATCGTGCACCTAAGGCCTGTGTATACGCCCATTGTACACCGAGAACCAGCCACTCCCCGGCTGGTCCAGAGGTGGAGTGTGAAGACAGACTGAGGGACTGAGGGGTTTTGACTGCACTTTGTGGGATGAACTGAGCGACCACGGGGACGGCATCAATGCCATCACGGAATGCATAACGGATTACATCAACTTCTGTTGTGAAATCGCTGTGCCTTCCAAGATAGTACAATGTTTCTCCAACAATAAGCCGTGGATAAACACCGAGATTAAGGCCCTGCTGAAGGAGAAGAGGGCCTTTCTATCTAAAGACAGACAGGCACTGAAGGAGGTACAACGGAGACTGAGGCTGAGCATCAGAACTTCTAAGGCTCGCTATAAGAACATTTGACTACAAAGTCCTGCTCAGATAGCGTCTACAAATAACAATAAGCAATTAGCTAAATCCAAATAGCAGCTAAATGTTCAAAGGCTATAAAACCCCTCACCAGACACACTTGACACACGACTTGAACTCACAACTGCTGAAGTGCAATTGCAGAGATAGAAAACTTGTTCATTGAAGGTCTGAGAGCGGCTGCAGCTGTCGAAAGCCGTGCATACACTGTAAAATACTGCTGCAGAGGACCCCTGAGGGGCAAGAGCTCGGAGTTGCAAATGGCCCGCGGGTAGCGTCTTTGGGACCCCTTTTCTGAAACATGCAATGTTAAAAGTCTGGCACTACATTTCCCAAACATGCATAAAGAGTTCCGAGCTTCCGGCTCGACTGCACGGCATTGTGGGTAGTTCTCTCAAAAAGGTGGGCATCAAATCACGCTGTCATATTGGATTACTTGTTGCGAACGTGATCTCTCTTTCTTGTTTCCAGCCCATAGATTGTTTTAATAGCTAAAAAATTCACCAATTTCAGACATTTTGAAGGTAAGGTAAAGCTTTTTTCATTTAACAAAAAAGCAATGCATTTTTTTCTTGTGGTTTTAGATGTAAACACAACCGACAGACTATAGAGCTACATGTAGCTTATGCTACATGTTCACGTTCACAATATGTAATCCAATATGGCAGCGTGATTTGATGCCCACCTTTTTGAGAAAACAACCCACAATGCCGTGCGGTCGAGCCGGAAGCTCGGAACTCTTAATGCATGTATAATGCGCATGTGGGCCCTTCTCCCGCAACCATTTTCAGACCTGGTTCAAACGATGTTAGGAGCCTGTGGAAGTTCTGTCTACGTCTATGTAATGTCAATTGAATTGAGGATCATGTGGAAATGCATAACTTCACGTTCTCCTCATAATTGCGCATTTAATTGCCTCACTACAGCACTGAACTACAATAATGTTTTATGCCACATACTGTATTTTAGGAGTGTCTATTAAAGTGCATTGTATCATAGGGCACGCTAAACTTTGCAACTCTCCACCTGGGGTCCGGCAATTCCTTCTGTCAGGTCAATACGTATATTTTCTTAAATTCAGGTTAATTATGTTGAGACTACCTCGTCCACTTTCTGCTCCTTTTGCAGCTCGGCCAAATCAATCACCAGGCTTGAAACAAAAGACACAACAAGTAAACATAACTCTTTTATGCACAGGCAGTTTTTAAAGAAAATATTGTGTTTAAATGACCACAACTAAAACATAGCTCTTGTTCTACCTTCCTAAGAAGTCGTCTTTGTCCGTGTCCTCGTCGAACAGCTCCAGCTCCAGGTTCTTTGCTGTAGAGCTGTCATAGATCAAAGCCTGTGGACAAAAAGTGTCTTATTCTCAAAGACTGTGTATAGATGAACAGAGCTAACCCGCTGGCTCTAATATAGCCCATTCATCCTTGGGAGCGGATCCATGCCTCTATGAAGTTTCTTACTTTTTTTTACTCACTGGGTTTTTATTGAGGTCTGAGCTGCAGGAGGGTAAAAGGACAGTAGTGATGATCCAGGTCTTTTAAGGACATTTATGGACGTTTATTAAACTTTATGGACATTGGTCATCTGCTCCCTACTTAAGGTCCATTAACTTACACTGTAAAGTAAACTCCTCCTTCTCTGTAATGGGGCGTTCAGACCGGATCATGCGTTGCAGCAACTATAATAGTTAAGATAATGGTGACGTCTGTTCGAGCGCGGAACTGCATGTGCGTCACGGCACTGACTGCGCGGCAGAAGCGGCATTGCGGCGCGGTAGCTGCAAATCGACGCAGGCAGGAGATAAACATTGCTGAACTTTTTCCGCCGGTCGCACATGCAGCGACCAATCAGAGAGCTGTGGTCATGGGGACACAAGCGGCCTAGCGACAAGCTCCGGCGATCCAAGATGGCGCCGTATTCAAATGAATGGTTGTGCTCAGTGGCGCCGGCATGGGGACTGAAAGATTAGCGGAAGTCGCCTGGAACTCGCAAAGATCCATGGGAAACTCGCAAAGATCCATGGGAAACTCGCAAAGATTCATGGGAAACTCGCCTGTATTTGGGCATTGTCTGGTCCTCCCGGTTCTGCGCAGTGGATGATCTCCCATGATGCGTTGCGCCAAACATGCGTGTGTGGGTCTCACACGGGGTCTTGTGCACGCGCACAGAGGGGCTCGGACGCGCTCTGACCAATCAGAGCTGCTCATCAGAGCGGGAGTTAGAGCGAGAGCCAGACGAGCAGAGTTTGTGGCACTAAAGTGTGGATTTAAAGAAAACCAAAGGATTTAAGAAGAAGAAAAGTTCAGGATGACAAGGGACACTAAAATCCACACAAAATCCGACCTTTATGAAAGCTATAGGTTCTCTGTCAACTGAGGTCGAGCTGTTTTAGTTTGCATTGAGTTTTATGGGGAAAATTTCTGGGTAGCCCACGTGAATTTAGTCTGGTTTAGTCTGCAGTACCGCGAAAATCCCCCGAGCACATGAGTTCTTCAGCTCCAAGCTAGTAATACCCTATCCAGTTATTATAATAGATCCATGCCTAGCGAGCAGACTGAAAATACTTGAAAAGAGCCAAAAAAGGAGCTAAACCAGGACTAAACCAGGATTGACAATGGGGGAAACAGTGAACATATGCCTCCTGAGTTCTCATGCTCCCGTGACTGTAAACAAGTGCTGCTAACGTGTTCGCCAAAGCACCATTTAATAATAAAATAAACTTATGGCGCACCTCCGTGAACACATACTGCTGTAATATAAAGTCTCTGGAAGGTCTCTGGACACAGAGACGTTGCAGAACGGCATTCTTGGAGAAGAACTTTCTACAAAAAGCCGCTAGCTTAACTCAGTTAGCATCAAAGTTCGCCCCCCACTTCTGCCCTGCATTTTTTTCTACCGCAGGCCAGGACTTCCGGTCTGAACGCCCCTAGCGTCTGAAAATTGTGCTAGAAAGCTCTAATTTTCATGGAACCAGTTAAGTGGGTCTGGACCAGGTCTTACCTCGTAGACCTCGTTCCACTTGGGGTTGACAGTCTCGTGGACGACTTTGCTCTGGAACAGCTGCGTCCCCACCTGCAGGACTCCGTATGGGTCTGACTTCCCTTTGATCAGACCCCCCAGGAACTTATCCTTCCCCAGGAGCTCGTGGGCCTCTAGAAAGTGGATCCTTAGCACGCCCTGTAGAAGAAAAATATGTGATACAGAGACCACACGCTCTAGGGAGGACCCGAGAGGACCATAGACTGTATACAGATGGACAATGCAAACCAACTAGCTCAATAAAGCCTAATCAGGAAGTGCTCATGGACAAAGTTTTGCATTGAGTAATAAATTCCTCTAGCTCAGTAACAGTTTGTGTCACAGTCACCAATCTGTGGTTCAGCGCTCTCAGTGATCCTGGCGTCTTTGTAAATCAAAATATGAGCCATATACCAATCAGATGCCTTCATTCACAGGGGAAACTCCAGCCTGCCATTGCAACCACTTAACCTCTTTACTAACACCGGCGCGCCGGCGGCTGTTTTTATGTTTTTAAATGTTCTGCTGGCAATAGCAGATGTATTTTGAACACCAAACCCCAAAAGCTGTATATCATTTTAAAGCTTATTTTCTTATCTACATTTATATACAAGTGTAAACCACATCAGACTTTGCATTCAAAAGATATAACACATAATGTGGGCACAAAATAAATCAATTCCGAAATAGTTTTTTACCTTTGGGCTTGTGCTGTACAAATAAATCAGCTCTCCTCCCAGCTTGCAATACATAATTCTCTCTGGAACAGTCCAAACGAAAATTATATCCACTTGTATTTCCCAAAGTAAAATCCATTCTGCAGAAATAATCCAAAAATGTGCATTTATCTTTAGCGAAAAAAACGAAAAAAAAGAGCACAGATGTTACTCTTTCACTTTTAACGGACTTTTAGCTTTGTTTTTCACCCGAACATCTGGTATCCACGTGTTCCTTAGCGCCTTATCTTTCAAATGAGACTACTCCCGAAAAGCTAGACCAATTTTTGGGTCTGCAAGAGGTCCCGTAAGTACATCTTGCGCTGCTGTTTGCGCATTGAACACTGATCTTTTGTGGGGTCCCAACTTGTTTGCTTTTACTTCCGGGATTTACGATTGACATGTCCTTGTAGCCAATGAGGAACGCTTTCGAACAAGGGGTGGGACAATGGTGTCCTGTCTTATGTTGGGCCTGGACAATTGTGCGTAATGGAAGCCAAAAGACGCTCTCGAAGCTGCAATGAATTTACACTCATAAAAAAATAACTTTGACATTTAAAAAATAAAAACACACATAGATTAGTAACTTATAAGTACCAATAATAAAAAATATCGTTTTTATGATGATTAAATGTAAGTAAAGATATTTGGCACAAGTGTGCCAAATTGTGCCAAATGTGCACTACTTGATGAAAAGGAGAAACTGCATTAAAACTATAAGACTTAGGAGTCTGAAACTTTAGACAGTTGTTGTCAACAACACAATGAACAGAGGGTTTGAATATTGTGAACTTACAATGAAGTATGCCTTTTTTAGGGCCTTTAGAAATTGAAAATGTTAGGGGAGGCTAAAAAAATTGTTTTTTTTCCCCTAACTTCAAAGGATGCAGAGGAAAATAGGGATGACAAACATTATTTTAGTGTTTTTTTACATAAACTAGAAGGCTCTAGCTTTAAAATGATGCATCACACAAGCATGTGAGATGTAAGATGTGTTTTTAAATAAGCAAAGACATTTGGGTATGCCCAACCATTGTGCACGAGCCAAAATGAGGCGGATGTTAAGAGGTTAAGCAACATATCTCCCTCTGTTGCGGCGCAAAGCTAAAAGTTATGAGTGTGTTCACAGTACGAGTGTGACAATATATTGATTTTTTGATTATCGCAATACTTTTGCCCGCGATCAATTATTGATATGTGATGCGATCTGGGAAAACCCGTCGGATGTCGCGCTAGCACGTTCTGAGTAAATAGTGAAAATAAGTCGAGTGTCATTTTTTTGGCTAAATTGTGTTTTCATTAAATAATTATTATACAACATCTTGTCTTTAACTCCTGAAAATATCTAGGTGAAATTCACTAATTTTATACATTAAAAATTGTGATATGTTTTGATAAATCGAACGTTACGTTACATCCTCCGCTCTGACCCCGGGAGCAGCTGCGGCCGCTTTGTGACAGCCGCTATGACAGCTCAGTGAACGCACGCCGTCTGCGCTCCGAGCACGGACCATAGACATGCGGACAGGACCATAGACACGCGAAGAGGACCATAGACAGGACCATAGACACGCAAACAGGACCATAGACGGGACCATAGACACGCGGACAGAACCCATACACGCAAATCATAGACACGCGAATCAGACACGCGAGACACGCAGATCATAGACACTTGGACAGGACCATAGACACTTGGACAGGACCATAGACAGAACCATACGCGGACAGAACCATTGACACGCGTTCAGACAATCCCCAGCTTGTTGTGGTTGTGGATATTTATACTGCGTGATTGGATAGAATAATACTGGCATTGTCTAATACATATATAATGTTCAGTAACTTATAAAGAGAAAGACACTAAAAAAGAGTTAGAAAAGTTTCATAAAACATCTAATTCATCTAATTCATGAGTGTTGTGTGTTTAATTGGTGCCAAAGTAACATTTTTTTTTTATCTTTTACAACATAGTGACTAAAATAAGTGCCATAACAGAGTAATTCAAATGTAACATGTTGTATTTGACTGTGGTGATTCTATTAAGAATGTCTAACTTTAAACCTGTTTTTCTCAGAATTCTGTTTCATAAAACCATGTGAATACGCTGACTTCAGATAATGATAACTTTTGTTACAGACCTTCTATGAAAAAAAAGAAAACAGATTTGAAAAGAGATTGAAAGCAGCTTTAAGATGGTGTCAGAATCTTAAATTTGTCAAATTTCACCATGTGATGGATTTTCCCAGATCGCATCACATATGCATTTGCCAAGTATCGATTTTGAAAAAAAAAAAAAAACCTTTTTATTTTTATTGTATTAGTATAAATATTTAATATATGGCTACATTACACATCTCCATTCCATTTATCAGGAAATAAAGTGTAATTTTTCACTTAACATTTTTCTATTTTATGTGTGCAATATATTGGCATAATGGTATATTGCTGATATATATAATATTGATCATTGTCATATCGTGATATAATCGTTATCGTGAGCTTTGTATCGCGTATTGTATCGTATCGTGAGGCACCCTTAGGTTCCCACCCAGTAAAGTATCAATAAAATTATCTGGACTTAAAACTCAAGAACTAAAATTACTATCATAGATTGGAAAAAAGATTTAAAACACTGACATATCAAAGAGATAGTGTGGATACAATCAAACGGAAAGATTGACAAATATATTTTTGGCGACATTTTAAACGACCAAATCATACTCTGATTACTGTGACGCCAGTTACATAGAAAATAAAATGTCCTCAATCTGAAAAAGCGGCAGATGAACTCCCACAAGATTAACATGGTTAACACAACATAAGTAAATCACTTGATTTGAAAAGGAATTGTAAAAAAAAAAAAATATTAAGAAAAGATTAAATGACCCATGATAAATGTGTAACGGATGTGATGGTTTCCGTCTATTTTTCTCCAACAGTTAAATTTGAGAACGAAAAAAAATCTAGTGTGGTTACAAAAACATAGAATATCTTCTGATTATTAAAATCACACTTTTGTACCCTTTAGTGCTGAACTCCACCGGCCGTTTACGCGCGCGTCCGTAAAACAGAATAGTGGCCACTCCGGCTTCAGCTCTGGCTGTGCGTTTATCAGCACCCGTGAGGCATTGTTTTAAATAGAAGAAGCGGTGTGTGATTTGCATGAGCTGTGGCTGTGATCGATGCAAAGCACGGCATATTGAAGCATCGAGGACGTTGCGATGGATGAGGCAAAACTCATTGAAAGCAATTGGAAAAAGGGGAGAGAGAAAAGAGACAGATCTCAAAACTCCAGTGTGGTGAGATCTGTGTCTCATAAGTGCAGTAGGTCTCTGTGTCTGTGTGTCTGTGTGCCACTTCCATTCACCCTCATGGAGATAACGGAAACGGACACGAAACGGACACATTTGGACGCATACGTAGTACATTTTACGCAGCCAGTGGAGTCGGGGCCTTAGTGTGAACAAGCCCTTATGCGAGGAGAAAAAACTGCATTCTCCTTGAGAGTAGGGGTTTCCTGCACACGCCTGTGCGTGTAGGATGAGGACTTTAATTTGACAAATCTTATATTGATTTACATTTGGTGGAGCTGTAGTTACCCATTCTCTCACTAGATACTGAATTGTAGAGGTTCTTAAATGAATGATATGTGGCACGTTTGGAGCTGAAGTTGCCTGGATAACTATGTGAACCTGTGTTTATGATTTGGGTCAGTGATTGATAACAGATGTGTTGATTGTCAAGAGCTTTAAAAAGAGTTTGTGGCTGAGTGGAGGCTGTGACTTCAGCAAAAATCTGAAATGTTTTCAGATTATTGCTATTTTGCAAGACTTCCGAATCCCTACCTTGGGCACAGGGAAGCGCATTTGTGCAAGCTGGGCCTCTCCCACTAGAGGAATACTGATCTTGTTTGGAAGAACCAGGAATTGACAGATGATGTCCTGGATCAGACCGTCACTCAGACCACTGCACACACATAAACAAGAGAAGAGCGTTACAATGATCACACACAAGCAATTTTTCAATTATCACATGGATGCATTTCTGATCAATGCTCTCCTTGTTCAAGCAGTGAGTTTGACCAGAGGGCCGTATCTTAGTAGGTTAGGAAAATGTTTTTATAAGCAACCATGCCTAAAACTGCTCCGCAACTTCTCCCCTCGGTTAGGTGCTCCTTGGACTTCATGATGCTGTTTAGGCTCCGTTTAGGCACTGTTGAGGCCCTCCGAGATTGCTTTGAAAGGACCCTCTGGGACGAGCTCTGCAACCCCCATGGGCACCCCCATTAATAGCATGACTGAGTGCATCACGGGATAAATAAACTTCTGCTTCAATAACACTTCGGTAACCCGGAAAATGCAGTGTTTTGCCAACAACAAGCCGTGGATTAATCCCGGTGTACTGTCGAGACGGCCTCCCCCGTCGAAACATATTATCTAGTGCATCTGCGCATGCGTCGAAGTAGGTTTACCAAGCCATCGGATTTTGCATCTCCAGCTTCACGTGAGTAGTTGTATTTACGATAAACAAGATTACACTTGTGTATTTTGTTATGTTTGCTGAACACTATGGCACTACACATTACAGTGATGTAGTACTAGTTCAAATTCACGTGAAGATGCGGACAATAATGTAAATATACGTCTTAAGTTGGCGTCAGGACTTCTGCATTAGCAACTATTGCATTCCAGTAAAGGATAATTCGTCATTGTTGCAGTATTTTGTTTTGATCTTCACCGTAGTAAGCTGCTACAGACTTAATATTCATGTGGATATGCCTACCTGAACATCCGTGTGTCTGAATTACTGCTAGTTTCCATTTGGGCTACCTCTGTTTGTGGTTTACATCACTTATTTACGTACTTTATGTGAACTTTATGTAGACCTTCTAGGGGGACCTATGTTGGATTTTTATTTTGTTATTATTTTTATGACTTATTTTAGTTCCTACTTGCCCAGACACATAAGTTATTGGTTGTTTAATGTGTTATTCGCTGTAGAATAATTATTAATACTCTTTTCCTTTGTCTATTTCTGTTTCCTCAGCATACAATGTACAAACTGTGATCTCCTGCCAAACCTGCATTGCAGCTGATTGAAGATTCTGTCGATAGTGTCCCCAACCATAAAATAACCTCTCCATTCTTCACAATGTTCTTCTTGTGTTACTTGAATTAGATTTTTAATGTTAATATATGTTTGTGCATGTTATGCAAATGTATGTATTTAATTCATGGGGCCAATATGGCCACCGTGGGGCTTTTTATTTTTTTCATTATTTTTGCCCTGTTATAGCTTTGTAAAGCAATTTAAAAGATTAGTATGTATTCTGTATTCATGTCTCATGGCTTATTATTGTTATACAAAAGCGTTAGTATAACAAGGGTCTTTGACAAATGTGTAAAAGTGTAAATAGTGTACACTTTACAAAAGCTCACAAAAACTCTTAACTGTTAGTAACTGATTGAATAAATCATGCACTGCAGTATTAGTTGATAATGAAGTATACAATTATTAATCATTAACATGTAGTTTAATCATGGTGGAACAAATCATCTATATATGTAGTAACAAATTGTTACTTCATAATTATTAAATAATTAAATAATCATGAACAAGTGAAGTACTTGAAGATGTATTCATTTTTAGTTAAGCATTTATTAACGTAGTAGCTAAGTAGTTATTGTTTTTCACACTTAATGAATTGTTCATGATTAATTAAGAGTTATTTAAACATTTATTAAGCCTAAATAAGGTGTAGTTGTTATAAAGTGTTACCAAGGTTGTTTCTGAATTCACTGTAGATATTTGAACTCCTTGAAACAATAAAACATGAACGCGCCTTAACTCATTCACTGCCCATGACGACAAAACTCGTCATGTTGAATAGTAACGCTCACTGCCCATGACGAGTTTGACGAGTTTTTCATGTTATTACACGGGAGGCTACAGTAATGTCTGGCGCACCTTGTGAATGACCCACAATACTGATATATAGTGCAAATGTACCTGTAATGATAAATCAACACCAGTAGGATGCAGTATTGTGCCACAGGAGAGGTCATAAGTCATTGGAGAGAAGGAGGAGGAGTGTGGGAGTGTTTGGAGAGCGTGCTGCTGTAGCAGAGCGAGCGATGATAGCGTAGCAATGAGACGGATCAGCGATCTAGTTTAGCGATAGTATAGCAAGAGTGATGGCGAAAAAGAATAGTTATAAGCAGTGTACACTGCTTCAGAGATTGACTCGCGGATCAGTGAGTGAGGTCGAGAGGGGAGAGAGTGGAGACCCCGGTGGAGGTCTGTCTCTGCAGCCATATTTGCGCGGAGCAAGAGCCCGGAGCAGGGACACACCTTCCGCCTCTCGCAGCGTATCAGCTGCTGCTGTTACTGATGCCTCGGATTCGTTCAGCAAACCTGATCATGATTTATCGGATGAGTGGTTGCAGTCTCAATCCAGCAGAGCATCCTCTCCAGAAGCTCCACAAAGAGTCGAAGGTAAGAACTTGCTAAATTGCCAAGAATATGCTGACTTGAGAGGAGGGAAAGGCGCGGAAACTTACTCTGATCTGCAAAGTAACACCGCGCTCAAATCCTACTGTTTCTTTAGTAAATGCCAGTTATGCGTTTTATCATTGTTGTATTTATTATTTTTATGTTTAGTTATTTCATACTTGAACATCTTGTTGCAGTGACATAGCTCTGACTAAATGAAATGTGTTCTTCATTCACAGATTCTGATAAAAGAGCCCTCCCCCATTGGGGTTGACAGGGCAAGGAGCAGAGGTAAAGATAATTCCTCCTCATACCATTGTACATATTATTGTATATATTCTCCTGGTATAGTGATTTACAAATGTATATTATTTACAGGTGGTGCATCAAGAGGCAGTTGCTGTGCACAAAAAAGGTAAAAGAACTATTTCTATTCTTGTACATCCCATGGCAATATAATATAATAACTAGAAATGGTACAATGGCTGAAGCCATTGTGAGTGGCTGCATAGATGTTGGAAAGGTTAGGGATGAAGAAGGAAGAGGAAGGGGAAGAAGAAGGAAGAAGAAAGAAAAGGGAAGAAGAGGAAAGAAGAAGAAGGAAGAGGAGGAGGAGGAAGAAGAAGGGGAAGAAGAAGAAGAAGGGGAAGAAGAGGAAGAAGGGGGAGAAGAGGAAGAAGGGGAAGAAGAGGAGGAAGGGGAAGAAGAGGAAGAAGGGGAAGATGAAGTAGGAAGAATGTGTTGTAAAGTGCTGAATGTGTTGTAAGGTGCTGAATGTGTTGTAAAGTGCTGAATGTGTTGTAAGGTGTTGAATTTGTTATAAAGTGCTAAGTGTGTTGTAAAGTGCTAAATGTGTTGTAAGGTGTTGAATTTGTGTTAAAGTGCTGAATGTGTTGTAAGGTGTTGAATTTGTGTTAAAGTGCTGAATGTGTTGTAAGGTGTTGAATTTGTTATAAAGTGCTAAATGTGTTGTAAAGTGCTAAATGTGTTGTAAGGTGTTGAATGTGTTGTAAGGCGCTGAATGTGTTGTAAGGTGTTGAATGTGTTGTAAGGCGCTGAATGTGTTGTAAGGTGTTGAATTTGTGTTAAAGTGCTAAATGTGTTTTAAGGTGTTGAATTTGTGTTAAAGTGCTAAATGTGTTGTAAGGTGTTAGATTTGTGTTAAAGTGCTAAATGTGTTGTAAGGTGTCGAATGTGTGTTAAAGTGCTAAATGTGTTTTAAGGTGTTGAATGTGTTGTAAAGTGCTAAATGTGTTGTAAAGTGTTGAATGTGTTGTAAGGCGCTGAATGGGTTGTAAGGTGTTGAATTGGTGTTAAAGTGCTAAATGTGTTGAATTTGTGTTAAAGTGCTAAATGTGTTGTAAAGTGTTGAATGTGTTGTAACGTGCTAAATGTGTTGTAAGGTGTTGAATTTGTTGTAAGGTGCTGAATGTGTTGTAAGATGTTGAATTTGTTGTAAAGTGCTGAATGTGTTGTAAGATGTTGAATTTGTTGTAAAGTGCTAAATGTGTTGTAAGGTGTTGAATTTGTTGTAAAGTGCTAAATGTGTTGTAAGGTGTTGAATTTGTTGTAAAGTGCTAAATGTGTTGTAAGGTGTTGAATTTGTTGTAAGGTGCTAAATGTGTTGTAAGGTGTTGAATTTGTGTTAAAGTGCTAAATTTGTTGTAAGGTGTTGAATTTGTACTGGTCCAATGTAAGTCTATGGGAAAAAGTGCTTGAACTTTTGTTAATATCTGAAAAAGTGCTAAAGGTGGAAGTGTGAAAAGTAATAGCAATAATGAGACGGTGAAGCCGGTCGTAACGATGTATAATTTGTTGAATTTGGTGAAAGCGTTGAAGAGTTGAAAAGTGCCAAAATCTGGCGGAAGTGGAAGAAGAAGAAGAACTAGAAATGGTACAATGGCTGAAGCCATTGTGAGTGGCTGCATAGATGTTGGAAGGGTTAGGGATGAAGAAGGAAGAAGAAGGGGAAGAAGAAGGAAGAAGAAGAAAGAAAAGGGAAGAAGAGGAAAGAAGAAGGAGGAAGAGGAGGAGGAAGAAGAAGGGAAAGAAGGGGAAGAAGAAGGGGAAGAAGGGGGGGAAGAAGAGGAAGAAGGGGAAGAAGGGGAAGAAGGGGAAGAAGAGGAAGAAGAGGAAGAAGGAAGAAGAGGAAGAAGGAAGAAGAGGAAGAAGAGAAAGAAGGGGAAGAAGAGGAAGAAGTGAATAAGATGCAGTAAGAAGAATGTGTTGTAAGGGGCTGAAAGTGTTGTAAAGTGCTTAATGTGTTGTAAAGTGCTGAATGTGTTGTAAAGTGCTGAATGTGTTGTAAAGTGCTGAATGTGTTGTAAAGTGCTGAATGTGTTGTAAAGTGCTGAATGTGTTGTAAAGTGCTGAA